ATAAATAAAATAAAAATATAAATTAAAGGTGCAGGAGCCAAGGTTGGTAACAAGTTGGCATCCCACAGTTGCCATTTTCCCCCAGGCAAGGGTACCGTGCTTTTGCTACTTGGGAAGCAGGAAGACAATAGAGGGACAATAGAGGGAGCTTTTCAGTGTAAAGATGCAGAGTTTAAGTGATTGGGGAAGGGTGACTTGTATGTACCTACCGGAAATTGCTATCCTATCCTACCAGACAGCTGCGTCTTTCTGTCTCCCTCCCTCCCTCCCTCCCTCCCTCCCTCCCTGAAAGTGTGAGTTTTTTGCCTCTTATTTAGCATATAAAAAATCTTAAATCTTTGGAAACTCACAGCAGGATATTCACATGTATGCCTTTCTAAAAGAGGAGTGCATGTTTTGTTTGAATTGCAAAGGAAATGTGTGTGTTCAGTTTAGGGTAGTGAACTTGTAAACTAGCTGGCTGTTTAATATAAGTTTGATCTCATCAGGTAATGTTCTTTAGCTTCATGTCATGAAAAGCTTCAACTGCCTATTGCTACTTATTAAAACTTTATTAAAGGGACAGGGCATTCCCCCCCTTGCCCATGGCAACCTTAGCTGAACTTAATTTTCCAGAATTCTCTAGACATGCTTCTGTTTTTGTTTGTATGGACTTGTTTTCCACTTAAGGGGTTCTCTAGGTGAGGTTGTCAGCTTTTTAAATTAGCCCTGCTTTGTGCCTTTAATAGCAGCCCAACACATACACAGTATTTTTTGTTGAACATGTGGCCAAATTGCTACACTTAATCTTTATGTATTCCATTTGGTGCTAAAGTTTTTAATTCAAAAATCAATCTGGACTCCTTTTTTAAATAGCAGCCTGGCATGGAGAAATTTAGCAAGTGAAGATTTTTGTATGCCAGGGAAAAATGTCACCTGCTTAATTTCTGTTTGTGGTTCTACTGTTAAAAGCATAAGAATGGGACTAATTTATTAAAAAGTTGGCCACTCTATTTCGGGACAGAAGAGTGTTTTGGGGCATCATTCAAGGTGATTCAGCACACGGCGTCCACAGAGCCATGGGGGAGAGTTGATTCTTGGTAGTTGAGCTAGCAGACCATGAGATTAGAAAACAAAATGGTATTGAGATTATCTTGTGAAAGAATCTTTCTCTTCTATGACTGTAAAGATTAGAAGTTGCCATCCCACCTGGGCTCCTATCCTGTAGAGATCCAGTAGCATTCTGCAGGAGTCAGCCTTGTGTTTAGGACTGTGTTCAGTATGGGACGGGGAGATGAAATGGATGATGAAGTTGATGGAACATTTATCATAATCTAGAGGTGACACAAAGATAGGAGGAACTGCAAACACTTTAGAGGTCAGGGGGGGAAACTGTCCCTTGAAACTGGAGATGACAATTAAATGGAATTAACCATAACAGACGTGTGAAAATAGCTCCCAAGCATGCCCTTTCCAACAGCACATATAACATTCCCTCAGAATTCATATATACATTTTATTTACTCTGTGATATCCCATCCTTGGAGATTAAATGGATTATTTCTTAGAGGAAACTGAATCCACCTTTGTGCCTTAATGATATGGGGCCTTGCCAGCAAGGGACAGAGGAATTATGGGGCAGGAAACGGCTACCTTCAGCTCTTAGGGGGCAAAGCCTTTCCATTCAGGAATGAGGTCTGACTGGTTTGGCTTCTTCCTGGCCCAGATGAATTTCAGCTGTAATAACAGCTACACAAATGTTCTTGGCAATAGATTGACATGCTCTGATACTTGGTATACTAGGAAGTGTGTGGATATGTTTACATGCACAAATATTACCTATTCATTGTATCTGATTGATAACCTGCCACATCCCAAGGACTCAGAGCAAGTTAAAACCATAAAGCCCCAACGATAATAATAAAATGCACTTTCACCTCATTCCATTCATGGTCACCAGAAGCCTACATGAATTAAAAGAAGAAGAAGAAATGCTTTTGCCCTCCTCCTAAAAGCTGTACCATCTTGGTGGGATTTACTAAGGTAAATCATCACTGCAGTAAACTGCTGAATTGCTGAGTGACTCCTCCCTCCCCCCTTTTTTGATAGGAAGGGAGCCCAGAGCAAGGACTTGTGTGAAGGTGTAACAGGCAGGCTCTACTGAAATTGCATAATTCTGAGGTTGCATAACAGCAGTTTTTGGGAAGCTGGCACAGGCAGCAAGATGGAGGGAACTGTTATGTATTGACTTGAATGTAAATACTGACATGCGAATCGTCTCATTGAAACTCTATGTTAAGCTTCAGCCTGGGCTAGGATCCTAATGTAACCAATAGGAGTCCTAGCCCAGAGAGTGTCTACCAATCACGCTGTAAAGCGGGACCGCTTGTGATTGGGCATTATATCTTCAACCTCATAGGTTGTTATTTGTACAGGGGGTGTGGCTACACTAGCCGGGAATGTTTAAATACAGAGCAGCCAGTGCTTGTCCTTTGGCTCGAGTGGTTCGAATGATGGTTCTGGCTGGCGATCGTAACTAAGCTGAAGAATAAACCGCAATTCTTGCTGAATCACTCTCCGACTCTTTGTTAAGCACACGACTTAACA